TAATTATATAATAAAATAATAATATTAAAACTTGAATATAATAATAATATAATAAATTTTATAATATTAATAAAAAAAGTAAAAAAATTCGTATTTTGTTTGAAATTAGTTTTATATCCTTGAAATTCAATATATAATATTATTTCAGGGATTAATATATATAATTTAAATTATTAAAATTTACTAAATTATATATTTATAAGACCATATTCATGTAATAATTTCGAATTTATAAAATTTATTATAATTAAATTAAAGCCCTAATATAATAATTAAGTATATAATATAAAAGTTAATTAATAATCAAACTATATTATATTTTTTAAATATAAATTCCTTTTTTTTTTTCGAAATAATAGCTTTTTTTAGCTTAAACCTATTTCAGATTACTAAGTATTCAATACTAAAGGTCTAATAGGAATTTCTTTTAGGCCTATATTATAAGCCCTATAAGAGCTAGCTTTGTGCCCAACAGAGGCTAGCTACAGAGGTTTGAGCCTATAGTTTCAGGGCTTATAGAGGCTAGCTACAGGAGTTAGCGAGTAGTACTTTGACAGTGTATATTATGCAAACAATACTTCCACTATACCAGAGTAGTATACAGTATCCAATCAGAATACAGTTTAGACACTGTATCCTGTAGGGGTACGATAGGGATATCGTTCCGTATTCCTACTTGGGCCATTAAGGTAGTTTTTATAAAATTTATAATATAAATTTAAAAAAAAATTCTATTAGGTTTTCATTATTAAATATGTAGTAATTATTTAAAATAGATTAAAAAAAAACTATTATTTAATAAAATATTAAAAATGGATTTAAAAAATCTAATATAATTTGATTACTAATCTAATTCTATATAATCTTATAATTTATTATTTCAAGGCTTTATTTTGAATATAATAAATTTCATAAATTCGAAACCATTGTATAAATATAGTTTTATAAATATATAATTTATTAAATTTGAATAACTGAAATTGTATATATTAATCTCTGAAATAATATTATAAATCGAATTTTAGGGGTATGAATTTCAATAATTTAAGTGGGAATACGAAATAATATTTTTATTGTATTTTTATGGGATACGGTGTTTGAATTGTATTCTGATTGGGTATTGTATTTGATTCTGGTATAGTGGAAGTACTGTTTGTATGGTTTGTGTATTGTTAAAATATTATTTATATATCTTTGTAGTTAGTTTTTATAAGCTTTGAAATTATAGGTTTAAATCTTTGTAGTTAGCTTTTATAGATCTAAAGCTAGTTTTATAGAGTTCATAATATAGGTTTAAAAAAAATAGAAAATAAAATTGTATTAGGCTTCTAGTATTGAATGCTTAGTAATCTTTTAAAGTGCGTTTAGGCTAAAAAAGTTATTATTTAAAAAAATACAAAAATATAATTAAAAAATATAATATAATTTGATTACTAATTAACTTTTATATAATCTTATTATATATTATATTAAAGCTTTATTTCAAATATAATAAATTTTATAAATTCGAAGTTATTATATAAATATAGTCTTGTAAACATGTAATTTATTAAATTTCAAGAATTTCAATTATATATATTAATTCCTGAAATAATAGTATAAATCGAATTTCAGAGGTTCGAAATTAGTATTAAATAAAATACGATTTTTTTTACTTTTTTATTAATATTATAAAATTTATTATATTATTATTATATTAGAGTTTTTATATTATTATTATTTTATATAATTCATTTAATATTAATTTTAATATAATTAATATAATTTGATTAAAAGCTTTTTTTTTTTAAATCCCTAATTGAGTATGGTACTAATACTGTATAGGATTTAGGTATAGTATTAGCACCGTTCGAGTACTGTACAGAGGTTTAAGTACTGTTCAGGGTTTAGATACAGTACTAGCACCATTCGAATACTATTCAGAGGTTCGAGTACCACTCTATTAGTACTAGCACCACTGGAACCATAGAAGTACTACTAGAACCGTACTAGTACCGTACTTCCACCGTATTATCTCCTGGCTTGTTCTATTAAGGTATGGATTTTCGATATTAAAATTCATTAATCCTTTAAATATATAAATATTAAAAAAAACAAGATCATTAATAAACTTATTAATTTTAAAGCTTATAAATCTATTTGAAATCTAGAATTTGCTTTAATATTTATTATTAATAAAATAAAAAGTATTATTAAAAAGCTTTATACTTAAATAAAATATTTTTTTTAAAAAAAATCTACTTTTTTCAATATATATAATAAATAAAACCTTATTTATATAATAAAACTTATTGAAAATCAAATTTATTAAAAAAATTAATATTATATTCTAATTACATATACAGGATATAAAGATTTCATATAATATTATAGGAAATTTTAATATTAAAGTACAAATTTAAAATATTTTTATAATTATTAAAAAATTTATAAATATTTGATATTATATTGATAATTGTTAATTCAATTTGAGAAATAATCTAAATAATCATTTTTATTTTTATTTTTATTAATAATAAAAGATTTCAATTTTTTTTGTTCTTAATATTACAATTATCAATATCAACTAAATTCTTTAGAATTATTTGATTTTATATTAATATTTGTTTTTGTTAAGAATATTTGCTTTCCTTTTTTTTTTTAAATAAAATCCATTCTATCCTCATTTAATTTAAACAATAATTAAAAATATAATAAAAACCCCTTTTAATATTAACATATTTTATATAAACATTATTCTTATAATATTATATTCATTTATTCCTAAAAATTACATTTAGCTCTTTCAAATTTTGAAAATATTATTAATCCTATTTCGATTAATAATAAAAAAATCATTCAAATAAACTTTCATTTTTATATATATAAATTGCTTTTTAAAGCATTAAATAAATCTATAACTTAATACATCCCTATACTCCTTAAAAGGTTCCCAGGGTTAGCTTTAAGCCAGCTCGATGGATATCAATAAATACTATCACTACTACTTCTAACCTACAGCAATCCTAATATAACAAAATTATTTTATAAATCAATAATAAATTAATTATACATTCAATTGAAAAAATAAAAAGATAAAAATATTTATTAAAATGGTTTAATATAATTACAAAAATAATTATTTTAATAATAATAATAATAAAAAAAAAGTAAATATAAAGTTAGATTTTATTCAAATATATTCTATACTTCGAGATTGAAGAAATAATACTTTTGTAATTTAATCAAATATAATAGAAAAATATTACATTTTATAATATTATAAATCACTAAGAATTAGAATAATAATTTTTGATAAATTATATATTATTAAAAATTGAATATTAAATTAAAAGGCTAATCAAAGTTATAATTTATATTAAAATTTAATATCATATATTATATAATTGATTTAATATTGATTTATGAAATATTTTTCATTATATTAAGATCGCTATAGGTCAAGATTGATACTACTAACCACCTTAGAATAATCAACAGAATTTTTCTAATAGCCGGCAAGTAGTCAGATTTATTAGATTCCTAATCATCTTTCTAATAAGCTTTAAATATAAATATCAATTCGGATTATAATTCCTAGGCATAGATTCTTAAAGTTTTTAATTATTTTAATCTACTTCTTTCTTTTCTAATTGTTTTTTATATTGATTTAATTATTATATTTCAAATTGAAATAATATTATAAGTATTCAATTCTCCTATTAATTGAAATAACTCTATTCTAGTATTAATGGCATTTATAATAAACTTGAAGGGATTGTATAAATCTATATCTAAATATAAAAGCAATCTACTATATAGCTATATAATTATATACTCAATATAGAGTGTATATTTATCTTGCTTGAATTCCACGAATTTATCAAGTTTTTAATATAGTTCTAATAAAAAATAGCTTTCTATATTATTAATTTCTTAATATATCAAAAAAGAGATTGTAATTACAAAATCTCAAAGTATTAGTATAACTTTATTTCGAAAATAGTTCGCTAATAATCCTTATAGGATAATTGAGATTCGAAAAAAAGAAAATGAGAGAAAGGAAAAGAAAGCTAAATTACAAGACTCATTTTTTTCTAATATTAAAGAAATATTGAAAATTATGGATAAAAAAAAGAATCTAGAGAAAAAAAAAGCTATACGTATAATCGTATTAATATTGAATTGAAACATTACAAAAAGAAAGATCACAAAAAGAAAGAGCTGAAGAATAGTTTAAATAATTTAGAATGAGAATCAGAGAGTATGTATTATATAAAACAATTAAAAAAGGGCCTGAGTTTTTTATACATTCGAGTTCTTTATAAGTTTTATGATATTAATATAATACCTATCTATAGCATATTCATTGATTTTCTACTATTACGATTGTCTGTAATTTCTAGGTTGCTTACAAACTATTTACAAGTCTTGAGTTGACCTCCCAGGGATAGAATGAATAGAGAGGAATGACAAGGATCAAAAGAGAGGGGAAATCTAGACAAGGGAAGGAGGGGGAACACTAGATCTCAGGGGAACCGCCTTTTGAAAGGTTTTAATTGGAGTGAAAAAGCTTAATGGGTCTGTTTCTATCCTGGATGACCTTTAAAGGGTTGAAAGTAGCAACAAAGATATTTGGATGGGTGACTGGTACATATAGAACGAATATGGTGATACACATTATAGCCATACGTCGCCATGGGGAGATTATCTCTATAGGCTCGTGTAGATGAGGAATTTGACACAAAGTAACAAATCTGCAGGAAAACGGCGGGGCTAGAAGTAATTCCAACAATAATAATACATCTCGTGCCGATATGCCCAAAACCATATTCCACAGACCAACATTTAACTACATACCAACCGTTGTTACTCGAATCATGAAGTGAGAATTTAGTGTTCAACTGATATCTATTAGAACCCCCTATACCCTCTATGCCCACCTAATTCATTTTTTCTTCCTCTCCCAGCTTTGTAACACACTGATTCATCTCTTGCCTTCACAAACTCCATCATCAACGATGCCTACACTCAAATATTTCAAAGAATGTCCGGAGTTCCCAACTGATGTACCCATCGCCGATATACCCACGATCTCGTACCTTAAACTTCAGAGTGACTTCACAGAGGAGTCAGAAAATCTTTACGAGGCATGTAGGGAATATGGATTTTCCTTGCTCGACTTAAACAAGTCTGAGGAGGGAAAGCAACTGTTGGAAGATGCAGAGATTATGTACGATGTTAGTGTTGATATATTTAACCTTGGACCCGAAACTTTAATGGAATATTAGTTTAATATGCAAAAAGATCTGAACGGATGAGTTCGAACTCATAATCATCCTTAGATCCACTGACACTGACACGAATTCGTTACTACCAATAAAGTTGCAAGCCAGCTGGAGTGCTCAAGACAGACGACGGCAAGATGGATGCTATGGAACTGTATACACTCAGTCGAGACGAGTTACTTGGTACACGGTCTACACGTCGAGATCCAGAGGAATTTCAAAGACATCGCGAGGTCTGCAAGCGATCTTTTCTTCGTTCACATGAAGTTCTATCACGGGTTATGAATCACCTGGACAAACATCTAGGTTTAGCCCCTGGTACACTGTCTGCGCTTTCACCTCTAGAGAAGCCCTCCGCTACATCTCTTCGTCTCCTCATGGCACGCTTACAGCCTCTTAATGATAAAATTATCAGTCTAGGTGGCCACACTGACATCGGGACAATCGCTATGCTATTTCACGTAGTTGGAGGCTTCCAGGTATTACCCGCAGGAAGCAAGAACATCAGCTCCAATTGGCGTTATGTGCGTGCAGTACCTGGGTGTGCCTGATCAATATTGGAGACTCGCTTGTGGAATAGACAGGAGGGCTGCTACATAGCATGGGCAATGTTATGAGTGCACACTAAGCTTGATGCTTAGCAAATTCATAAGCTATGGCTGTCATTGGGGATGTTTGTAGCAAAAATAGATCTACCATTAATGAGTTTGACAAGAAATGTGAACACAAGATGGCCAATATCATACGCATTTTAATTGCTTAGAGAATTGCCATGGAGTGTTTTAGGACATCAGCATCGTGCAACCATTGCTCATAATCTTAACATCAAATCATGAAATGCCGTGCAACAAATCACGTTGCAAGGTGAAAGACACGCAGTAGTAGTAGTTCCTAAAACCCGCGACAGACGATTTACCAAATTGCCTTTCAGACCACTTTTGGATTCCGTCTTCATGGATCATCAATGTCTGGGAACTCATATATTCTGAGCCGGATTTTCAACTAACGCAAAATAGTAGCGCACAGAACATGAAGATGATAACCTTGGTTTGAATGACATCGACTGTCATATGCCGTTGGTATTTAAGTTCAACTGGTCCCGATCTCAACAACACACGAAACACTGCAGGAAAGCAGTGAAGTTATATTACAACTAGCATTTTCTGACTCTTGGGTAATTGACTAAAACTGGCTGCCTCAGTTCCCCCGTCTAGCTACCCATTCACCTATCCATAGAGCACATACACTAATCTCTGAATAGGGCTCACATTTGCAGTCGTAAGCATCAGACTTCGAAGTCGATAAGTATCATTTGCTACATGCATATGACATGTCGCAAGTTTTCCGTCTCCTCTTCGTATCCGCCTGATGTGTGCTTCGGAAATTCACTGTAGATTGAAAGTTGCCCTGTAAAATAGAAACAAGATATAAACACCGGCGAGCCGCTGTTGTCGGCCACTTTACTGGGATCATATCTTTACCAAAGCGAGATAGTAATACAGCCGAACTACTGGAAGGTCAAATCCGAAACGAGCCATAGAAGCTACCGCCGCAGTTTCCCACCTACCACTCGTAGATGTGAATACCTTCGTCACGATTTACTTTTGCTGCTACCATGCCTACAAAAATCTAGATCCTAGATATACCAAAAGGCGCAAGGGGAGAAATAAATGCGCAGGGTGACGTAAAGTCATGTCTTTGGGGAACAAGGGCTAATTCCGAGAATGAATAGTGACACTCATGCATGCACCAACCATTAAAGATTGTATGAATTGGTCACAGTTTGCTAAACCTTTTGTAAACGCTCTGTCTTGGATTTTCGGTGCAGCAGAAAACATGAGCAAAAAGCCACCTGCCAGAATTAACAGGAACGTGGAAGTTTGATTGAATGACGATCAAGTAATTGAAGGCAGTATGTTGGTTCCGCCTACTCCATAATTGAGTACATATAGATTATACGGCATTGCGAGAGGGGCCATAAATCAAATAATTCAGATGAGAACAAACAGAGTAGTACTTCTGGGAGCCTCAATTGTGAAATGTTCTTCGATATGTGCTGACAGCATTTTTGTATCTGTCTGTGGATACCTGCAACGTGGTAGGATTTATCAAAATTGCTAAAAACTTACATGTTGCATCAAAATTGGAAAAGCTCACAACTTAAACACAGTGGTTGATCGTCATATTGAGCTCAAAAAGTTCTGGGAAGCATTTAGCTTCGAATATGCTTTCGATCCGAGTATATGAACTCGAAAGAAAGAAGATATGATACCATGGACGATGACCACAGGAGCGTGCACTTAGAAAACATTGGTGGAATATAGACATTTATCAGAGAAGTTTATATAGTTGACCTTTCACCATGAGTTCTGAGATCAGGAACATATAATGCCAGCATGGTTTGGCTACTCCAAAAGTCATCAAATGCGAAAACAAGAGAGCAGCTCGGCTGATTGAGGGGTACTCGTGGGTAGATTTATTGATATCAGCATTGAAGTGGTATGGATTGCATCCGGTTTTCTTTCAATATTCCATGAAACACAAAACCAACCATATAGAATTAGCCATTTCTCTAACCCCCTACAGGGTGGCCAATGGTCTGGAATAATTGCATTGGAGCTATGATTTCAATATATCAAGTAAATCGAATGAGTTGTATCTAAAGACTGGAAGCTTCTGGCTGCCGGACTGCGATCTGGAATATTCATAATCCTGAACTTTCTTGGCGAAGTTTTCTTTCTGAACATAAGTGATAATTCTAAAAAAGACTCGAGGCAGCGGAACTGAAAATTCACAGAATCTCAAGCGCGGTATCTCGTCAACCAGAAAGAGTAGGCATTATAGAATGGAAGAACCTGGTCAGTGTAATTGTAGTAATATCGCATGTCATAATGTGTAATGCTGACTGGGACAAACATATTAGGATGGAGAAACGCAGATTTATACTCAGCTAAATGGCGAAAAAGTAGAAGGTTATAGAGTGCCTTGCTTGAAGTCTATCGAAGAGCACGGAAATAACCATGAAGTACATTGCTGTTTCATCCGCCAGTGACAATAAGCTGATCTGTTGACATGGACTGAAGTTTCTTTCTTGTCTTCATGCGGAGAGTATAATCAGATGATACTGTGATGCCAGACTTCGAAATGATATGTTAATACTTGATAAAATGACACAGCTAGTACAAGTACAAATGATCAACGGTATAATGATTTGCCTTAAGTCAATTCAAGGTGCAGGGCTCATTCACCCAACGACCATCGCGTGACTTAAATATCATGACCACTCTCAAGTAGTATTTGGCGACGCTGGCCTAGAGGGAAGGACTTTGATCCAAAACATCATCGATGCTCACTGCTGAGGATTTTGGGAACGAAGAAACGTTTAGAAACGTATTGGTTTACATACAGTACTGAGGTCTTCCCAACAGGCCAGTCAGGGTATAAAATCCAGGATTGAATCGCACCACTCCATCAGTGTTGACTGCCGTATTTCCTCAGCATGAGGACCATAGCAAGAGAGCCCGATATCATTTAGTACGGCAGGTGAATAATTGTAAAAGAACTCCTTTCGGTACATCACGAAAGATATTCATCCATCTACACAAAATGCCACAATAGATCGAACAGAACACAACGTCAACCAAGATACCGTAAACTTTAAGACTACCATTCCTGAAATTCTTGAAGATGTTACTCGGAAACCTCGAAGAGACAACGAAAATGGAAGAAAAATCGGTTGAATCAAAATTCGACGAGTCCCAACTGGCAGCTCTGAAAATTCTATACAAACGATGGGATGAAATCAAAGCCCGAGATGGTATACCTCCTATTGCCGTTGACAGAACCAACTCATACCACGGTCAATATATCAGGACGTTAACAGATCTCGACATGGTCTGGAAGGAAATAGTTGCACTAAGAAAAACTATGGGATTGGAGTCAGATAATGGCAAAGGAAGGGAGAGAACATGCAGATGGTGTGCTGAGCGTGAAGGGAAGGAATTCGACCACTGGTGTTGAGCAAGAATTGGGTAGATGGGAGTTCTACCGAATTGCTGTGGGTAGCTTTACAATGATTTTGGGAATCAGGCTGGTAGGATGGCATTCAGATTATCGATCTGGGATAATTGTGAATACTAGAATGATTGACAAAGGCTCTCATGACCTGGGATCCCGGAACGATCATAAATACCATTGATTATTAAATCTGCAAAAACATGTGATTGCAATGTGGAAGTACAGGTAAAGTGATTTGAATCTTCTCAATCATAGAGTGTAATTTTTTTCCTCATGGTTCTATAGAAGGTTCGAGTTCAGCCTGTTTCTTATTTTTCATACAGAGATCTGAACAATAAAGCTATCTAGTGCCCCCAATACCGCATCGAAGAAGACTAAAAACTGAACCGAATATCGAACACAGCTTATAAACAACCAGCACAAACCAGGCACAGACAAAAGAAGCGATGAACAATCTAAAGAAGCTACAACTTACTGAGTTGGAGAACTTGGTGGAAGAGGCAGCAAGAATATTTGCTAGGGACGGAAACTGCGCACAGTAGAGATATTTGATGAAGGAAGTAGAGAAGATGAAAGATGCCATGGGCTGGAACAGATAGAGTAGTACTGCGTTGTCAATACGCATGGGAATTTTGGACAGAGGGTCACCAGGTTTTGTTTGGAGGAAGATCAAGCTTCATCATTTGAAGTTGCATGGAAATGACACTCGATCGTGCATAAACGATCAATTGTAGGATGGGAGGAAAGGAGAGCCTAGTGATGTGAACCAAGGTTAGGTCACATGAGGTTCAATCAAATGAATCACAACAAATTACTCATCTTCTGAACACAATTTGATGTTACATTACTTTCATTTATGTCTTATACCTGGCTTGCTCTCAAGTATAACCGTTATTGTAGGACGAAGACTTCAAAGATAGCATCGATAGTCTAAATCGCGACGCTGTGAATGGTCACTCGACCTCGTACGAACGAAGAAAACGATAAGAGTCGTGACCTGCAGTATAGTGACAGGATACTATTTCAATATAACCACCCACAGAGTAAAGTCTAAGCTTCTGCTTTGACCCAATTCTTGGTTAACAGTGTTGTTTTTAGAACAATATGATGCACCCACCCCATCTGCATGCAGGAACCAAATCCGGATATGTATTTTTTCCAATTTCAGCTATGACGATCTCCCGCATTAATTGACATGGAACTTGGAAGTAATGTGCATCCCCCAAGATTCTTTTTAGTAGTACAGTTGTAGATTTTTCTATTTGATAATCGGATGGTCGCGTGACGTGTAGCTTGTCGCCAACTCACCGTTCATCCTACATGAAGACGAGTTTAGCCAAATCTAAGTACGATTGTTGCACCAGGTACGTAGGTCAGAATTATAATGTTAGTGGGTTGTGGGGGAGAGGAGGAGGGCTGTCTCGAACGACATGAATGTAAACAGCCAACGTTTGAAGCGTGGGGAGTGGTTTGGAGTCATGATAGCTCGTGCTTGAACACCTCTGTATTTAGAATAGAGGCCTCTCCTTCTGATTGCGCTCTTGGCCTTGGACCGATCTTTGGTTAATGTCCTGAGAATTGTAGACATCGTCGATAGACGTCTCGTAAATTTATACGTCGCACTTGCAAGATTTTGTGGAATCGGGGGCCAAGTAACTTAGGTAAATAACATGTTATGTGGATCGCGATCTCCATACTGTATTGAGCGAAGATCAAGATGTCGAAAGGAATCGTGTCTCGTAGCGCGCGGGCCATGTCGTGACCTTTCTCTGAAGGTCCGAAGGAGACGTGTAATGGTTCGTCATTGTGGCTTTATGTTTGACAATCGAGAAGATGGTACTGTGATGCATGAATTGCCGGTTTGGCTATTGATCGCGAGCTGGAATGATACGTCGTGTGGTGTTGTGTGGTGTTGTGTGGCGTTGTGTTGTGGCTGGTATTAGGATCGTTGTGGTTTGTGGTACTTTCAGGCCAAGAAGAAAAGGCTGGAAACATTCGATCACTGGGGATGGCTGTGCAAACACTACCTAGACTTGCATATGCCAGTACCGTGAAGGGCAAGGGACACTAAATCCTTCCCCAGGTTATTGCAAAGACTAAATTAAATTATAACTTCCTTCAACGCAGCCCCGTTGAATAACGACACGACTGAGGTTACATCTCTATCGAGTCGTCGTAATCAATGTTCTTGAATTTCTTCAGCCAAGTTATCGGTCACACCAGAAAATGGATTCTCAGAACCATCATGGATTATGGTACACGATTCACGAACTCAGTGCTCGGACGTGCATGCCGAGGAAAGAGGAGTAGCTCTACTTCGTACAGTATTCCAGTATTCGTATACTTCGTACAGAATCATTTGCGCTTGAGATGCAGATGTAAGATTACTCGTACAAGAAGTCAAGATCCAAATTCCAGATGCAGGAACACATGTAGAATTTTGCAAAGGCCAGGCAGGAATGGACCAAGTTACCAAGGGATGATAAATAATGCAAATCAGTCAGATTGACACATTCTTACCGACGCATCTTATTGGATGTACTGAGATTCGACGTCGTATTGTGTTTCCCGAAGAAGCCGGATTTCCATGGCATCACACCACCAAGAATGAAGATAATTTAATTGCCGCTGCGGATGGCAGATGGCGAAATTGTCCGAAAGGATGTGTGTTATGAACGGAATTCCTGTGTGATATTATGTTTTGATCGAGGGACTACCTAGTACATACTACTGAAGATTTGAGGATGGAATCTTTCGGGAAGAATTCAATTGCTACGGTGAATATCTCCTGGCTCCAATATATTTCGTTCCATCACATAGAAAGGAAAGAAGAAGGCGACTTCTCCAAAGATTGAAATGGTTGGTTCGCACCTCGTCCATGGAAGACGCTGCCCAGGCGAGCCAGGTTCATATCATCCATGTCCAGCGCAAGCATTATCAAATCGTTGGATAAGATGGGCCAGTGAGAGCACCACCACACCCAAGAAATCTCTCAACTCCTAACCTCCCGAATGTGCTAGCTTCATTTGTATCCAGAAGCATCAGATTCCCATGCACATCAGGAAATCGTATCGTTGACACTGCAGCTCTATTTTCCTAAGCTCGAAATTTGACGCTGGAGAGTCTCAGAGCACCGCTTGTGGAAATTCCTTGGTAAAATGAACACAGACAGGATGATGTAAATAATAATAAATATATCAACATCAATTGTTCTTCCATTGCTCGCGACTAGCAATTCCCTAAAGTTAAAGATACGAGCTCACTGTCTTACCCCTGGCTTTGCTTCCTGATATTGCTATTATTATTATTATTATTATTATTATTACCCTTGCCATTCTCCCATTCCAAACACAGACAAATGCAAGTTTGAACCCAAAGAGTGCTCCTTATCACCCGGATAATCTCTCAGCACTTGCGTTGCGTGCTCTGCCACTTATATTAGTTTGCTGCTCCGTATACAGAGTACTACCTCCAATATCTACCTACTACCTACTACCTACTACCTACCTACCTAGTACTACCCACGATCTACTCCCTCCTACATCGTACCTATTTCAACCTCAACATCTCGGGGCAATTGATTGGCGGGAGACATATTTAACATTCTGAGGTGTTAAAATCAACAGATCAAGGAACAAGATACTAATCAACTGCTTCCGACTTTCCGATACGAGACTATCGAAAAAAAAAAAGACCAATACCTACGAGTAGAACCACCCAAAAGCCAAGGATTCTCCATTATTCCAGTTATACCCACTTTGTTACAGTTTCTGAGCTTGTCTCCACCAAGTTTATCTTCCTTTCTCTTTCTACCCACCTAAATTCTAACACCCTTTGACACCGCCGTATCTCTACGAGTACCTCTTTAGAGCTATACCACCCCTCTGTCGTTCTCATACACGGATAGAAGTTGCGCGTGTATCCTAACAGACCTTCCATTGTCGCTCGCTGCTTAACGATAAGATGAACAACTATTAGGGAATCATTGAACATGATACCTGATCATCTCAACTACAATCCTCTGAGTTGTGGTTGATTTATAAATTGACATTGCTGGCAAAACCGGACGGATTCATATCTTTGGACGAAATCCCTCTCACCACAGATTCACAATCTTTTCGCAACGCCTTTACGATATCCTTTACTGTTACGAGTTCAACCATTGATCTACGTCATAAAGGGCACATTCGAGAACGTTGATCTCTTGATCCATTGGGCTGGAAGCTAGGTGAGCTACGACTTTACATTGAGGGGTCCCTAGAGACAGTCGATCACAGTACCTCCCTCAACCACAAATACCAAACCTACTCGTTCTCGACCAACATTCAAAAACATCCTTTGGCGCGGCGTTTCCTATACGCCTGCTCCCTCCCGAAAGCTTCCATATATTAATCAGTTCAACCGTCTTGACGATGGCACGAAACCCTTCCCTCATGGCCTCATGGTCCACCGCGCTACTATCTTCCCTCGCCATTTTTAATATCATTTCTCCAGTCTCTGCCGGTGCCCCATATGTTACAGGGACAAACTCTGCAGGAGAGACAGTTGAATTACTTGACAGTCGAACACCGGCGTTGTTCACAGGGAATTTTGGAGATTGCATGGGTGGACAGAGTTTAATTAATGTTACGACATTCGACGCGGCTTACTACGCCGATAATATGACCGTTTTATTTCATCTCGCTGGTAACACGAATTTACAAAATGAGTCGGTAATGAGTAGGTTGCCCGTGATGGACAAATGATTCGAACCTTGCTAATCAAGAATATAGTACATATTGGTGTGCAAGCTTGTAGGTAGAATGACCTGTCATGAAGATGTGATACTAACGTTTGACTCAGATGGAGAGGATAGGTTCGATTTGACCTTCAATCCATGTAACGCAAATTTCGCCAGGTGAGTGCGATTTTCCTGTATCCTAACTTGACTAACCGGTACAGTCTATGTCCCATGAATAGCAGCAAGCCGATCAGTGGCGAAGCCATTATTCCAGTATCTGCATCTGATGTATCCGGAATTCCTGCTATTGCATTGGTGATTCCAGATTTTGAGGGATCTGCTACTTTGCGGGTATTTTCGAATAGTACACAAACTGAGATCGCTTGTTTCCAAGCTGTCATGAGGAATGGGGCATCTTTTTCCCATCCAGCTGCTGTCAGCTCAGTCTTGGGAATATTCACGGCAATCGCCGTGTTTTCCTCGTTTGCTACCGCCATATATGGAGTCAGCGTACCGCATATTCGAACTCACTATGCCCACTCCCTTTCAGTACTGGTGGTGTTTGAAGTTTTTCAATCGATCTTTCTTTCGGGGGCTTTGTCAGTTGCTTGGCCAAGTGTTTTACCGGCATTTTGGAGTAATTTTGCTTGGTCGGCAGGTTTGATCTACACCCCATCCATGATTAAGTCAGTCAATAGCTTCACTGGAATATCCGGAAATTCAAGTCAGGTCGGTGGTGCAGGATCTTCTACTATCAACAACAACGGCGGACTGCAACAGCAAATCTATGGGCGTTCCCTAAAGAAGCTGCAAGAGTATAGTCATTGGTCCAAAATGGCCAGGGGTAATGAGATGGTGAAGAGAATAGGATCATTGACCAAACGTGCCACTAGCGACAATGCTACTAAAGGGTACAGTTGGAACGGAAGTCCTATTGGAGCTGGGCTGCCATTGCCTGGAAGTTGGTCCAATTTCACAGGAACTCTCGCCAACATTGATGTTCCAGCACAGGATGCTTTCTTGGTCAGTTTTCTATGGTACCTAATCTTGGTTGTTATTCTTGTTGCCTCTGCGATTGCCTTCAAGTTTATCTTGGAAGCATTTAGCAAAATGAAATGGATGAATGAAGATCGGCTTGCATTGTTCAGGAACAACTGGCTCAAAATCAGTGGACTAATCGTTCTACGATCAATGCTCATTGCATTCTTCATGATAATGACTTTGTCGCTCTACCAATTTTCTTATGGGGGCACAACAGGCATAATCGCAATTGCAGCCATCATCTTCATAATATTCTTCTTCGGAATTCTGGCACTTGCCTTTTACGCTTGCTACTTCAGGCTTAGATTTGGCAATTATGCCTCGGCTCCTGATCGAATACATTTTCAACGAAAGAAAGTGATGAAGTTTCTCCCATGGTATGGGGCTGTCAGAGAAAGTAGCATGGAAGAGAGCGAGAAAGCAAAAACCTCTGGCTCTATATCTTTCTTCCGCTTGCACTACGTTGACTTAGACAAGGAGAGACAGAGTGTACACCAGGATGAGGAATACACTAAGCGATTTGGTTGGCTCTCGGCTCGATATAGAAGAACCCGTTGGTGGTTCTTCGCATTCTGGGTTGTATATCAATTCGTCAGAGCTTGTTTCGTTGGAGGTGCTCGTTCTAATCCCGATGCCCAAGTTTTTGGTAATCTCGTCGTCGAGATCATTGCCTTCATTGCTATCATATGCCTCAACCCCTTCGAGGGTGCCCGCAATACAGCCTTGGCGGTCTACATGCTGGGCATCAGTAAGGTTGCTACTGCAGGCCTATCGGTCGCATTCCTCCCACGGTACAATGTTGCACGCATTCCAACCACAGTCATTGGAGTCATTATAATTGTTATTCAAGGTTTCTTAACCATCGGCTTGCTAATACTCATCGTTCTTGGAGCCATCTCAAGCTACATGTCGATCATGCGTAATCGTGAGGAGTTCAGGCCACGCAATCTACAAAACATCCGCACAAAATACTTCGATCATCTGGAACTGAAAGCTGTCGATCTTCCACCCCCACCCCCACCGGTCCCCGAGGAGCCAAAGGAACCCTACTTCAGCGTTACCCAAGTTCGCCGAGCCCCTAAGATCGAAGATGAGGACACTGTGCCAGAGATGCCAGAGATGAGAGGAAATAGGGATCCAAATACATCACAGCCCTCATTACCTACGGCTGCTCGAAGCAGAGCCGCTAGTATGCGCAGTCAGCATTCAGGATACGGCAGTGTTCCATATGGAGCACGTGTCCATAGAGCAAGCTGGAGTTCCAGAGAATTTCAAAACTGGCAGCAGGATGAGATTGCCAGAGGCGACTCTCCCTTCAATGCGCCATCGAGACAACCGAGTATGAATCACACTGCCAACAACTCAACTTCTACTGCTCCACTTGTACATCCTAAGATGTCGCAAACGAGCTTAAGGTCAAACACACCGAAAAAGGAAAAAACAGCTCAATATGCCGATCAGAGAGTGGGTAATGCCAGTTAGACACAGAGTTGATCTGCAACGAATTTATGACAGGTGGATAGGGAAAATAAACAACTACACCGGGTGTAGTTTAGGCGTTAGGCGTGTAGCCTTCATCGAAATATGCAAAGATGAAGGCATGCTATTGAAATTAATGGGTTTTGCATTCTAGCTAGCATCACCGAAGGATTATAGACCCCATATTTGTTGAAACATAAAGGCATAGTTATAGCATGGTATGAATGGAGTTATAAGGATCATAGCGCATACATACCAATCCTTGTGAGTTACTGCTCCGAGCGAGTCAATTCATTAACAAAAATAACAAGTAACTTTCTATAAGTCGTGATTACTTGTGTTGATGCGTGTGTTTCTCTGATGAATGATGTACTGGTGTATATGCATACTTATGTTACCACGCCTTGCTACAACCGTCTTATTTTTATGAAGATTTCAATATTTTCACCTTTCGAGAAGGTGTTGTATCTTCACTTTTCAGGTGGGCGATCTAGCCGCACACGAGCACACCTTCCTTTGCTGGAAAATTACCTCAAGTTCTGAAGTTCTGAAAGACTTGAAGTTCTGTTATCACAAAATTGGTTTCTCCTCTCCATTACTTTACCCACGACAAGTTCGATTACTTTCTCTTCTATATTTTTCAGCCCATCTTGTAGTTGTACTTTCTTCATACTCCTCCATACAACTTCAGACGAGTCCTCAATTTGACCGAAAAACAATCGACGTATTGAAGGCCCCTGAAGTTCTTGGTGCGCGTACGCATTCACAATCAGTGGTAAATTTACTCATTGGAGGTGATTCAAATTGAATTGAATCAGGAAAAATGTTCTACAGCCATGAAAGTATGTCTCTTATCTGCGCTCAACTCTTCACTGCATATCTCACCATTCTGCATATTTGCTTCTCTATTATTTCAACAGTCTTTTCATAATCATTTTTCTAATACATTCCACTACTAGTTCTCACCTCTCGAAAACATGGTATCGCAACAGTATGGCTTGTTGCGACCCTAGGTAGTAAATCATCGACTAAGAAAATCACTCGAAAAGCCATCCTCGACGTTGATGTCAAGAAAGCCTGCAATACAATACTCGAACCTGATGCTCCCATGGCATTACGTCTACAGAGCAATCTTTTGTATGGTGTTTCAAGAGTTTATGGTCAACAGGTTGGGTACGTTTTAAGCGATACTATTCATGTTGAGCAGAATTTGAGGGGACTTGGTAAAAAGTTAATCGGAAGCTTGGATTTAGAAATTGTTAAGGTCAAGTAAGTGTAGTGCCTTGTGACCCCGATTTATGATGGGCTTAGCTGACCTTTCATGAAAACAAGACCAGCCCAATTGATGCTCGTGGATGATCCTGCGTTTGATCCAGATCTTCCACTTCCAGAATTATTTCTAGATTATAATTTTGACATTGATGCCCATCAGTCGCAAAATCGAGATTCGCAAATTTCATTATCGATTCAATCACAGCGCGGACGAAGCAGCTCCATCTCCTCTTCCCAAGGTGCTTCTATTATGGGCTTGAATATTTCCTCAAGTCTCAGTGCGGGCAACTACCAGCTTCCTCTCAACGATCCATTTGTAAAGTCTTCCGCGCTGAGATCGGGCACTCTGAGAGATGAATTTGACGACGAAGTTATCTTGTTCGAAGACAATGATCTGTTTGAGATTGATCAGAATGGAGAAATTAGAGACCTAACAGCTCAAGATATTTCCGCTCGACGGGCAGCAAATACAAGTGTGGCTCCGAGGTTTGGTAGTGACTCGGCTGCTAGTGCAAGAGTTCGCAAACAACATGACGATGCTAGGCTACAAGCTGGAGACAACGCTCGTATATACGACGAAGATGGAGATTTGAACATTGTGTTTGGAGACGACGATGGCAGAATTGCGTTACCTGATGCGGAGCCTTTTGAAGTCTTCATGAGTGGTGCTCTACCTGCTCCTTTGCCGGACCGCGAACAGTCGCTCTCACAATCCGAAGATTCCTCATCTGAAAGCGCAGCCGCACCTTCGCGACCAAGAAAACCTAAGACCAAGAAAAAACTTCCGATCGACCAAGCCCAAGAACTCAAGAATTCAGTTCTTTCAATCTGGCAAAGAGAGTACGTCGATACTCAAGACAGTCTCCGAGCAGCAAAGTTGACAGCGAAGGGACACACATTGGCCAAGCAAAATGCTCTCATGTTCGTCATTGGAAATGGTCTTAATGGTGCTGGAATTGGAATTGGTTCAACAAAGCTTCCGGGCCCTTTGAGTATGTTTTCGGGTGATGCGCTTCTTGCAAAGATCACAGGGCGAGTGTTGAGTTCTTCTAAACGTCAAGCGGACTTCGAAGAGGAAGACAATATTCCTAATAAGCGATCTCGCCATTCTTCTGACGAAGAAATTCCTCGTAATTTCAGGGGTGACGACGATTTTGCCATTCAAGTTGACGACGAGCCATTCGGTACTCCGGTTGAGGTGGAGATGGGTAGAGATGCAGCGGAGGGATTAGCCGAATATCCAAGCAGTGCGATGATGCCATGGAACTTGTCTGCCAGTCAGAGAGCTCGCTCTTCAAGTTTACGCCCCGCTTCTTCACTCAGACTCGGTAGCAGAGGAGTCTCTGCCAGTCCCTTGGTGGGAAGAGGTAGCATTTTGCCTGGTGGATGCGAGTTGGAGAAGTTCTCTTCACAGCAGGATGTTATTATGTATGGAAGAAGTGATGATATCAGCACCAATCTGGATGGGGAAAGTGTCGATGGAACGAATTTGGGAGCTTTTGAACGAGCAATCGAGGAGTCGACTAAGGAGTTTGAAATGTTCGGACCCGCTGCCAATGTGGACACACAGACAGCAGGACAAAGCCAGTGGGCTAGAGACGTCATGGATACAGAAAGTGAGAATTTCCTCGAATTTGTCCGACTATCCATTGCGGAAAAATATGACGACGAGGATGAGCTCTTTCAAGAGGACGGAAAGTTGAGAGATAAGAAAGTGGGATTCGAGGATTTGTTCAACCCGGAAACGAATAGTGAGGTTGTAGCAGCTCAGGCATTCTTACACATATTATCTTTGGCTACCAAGGGAAAAATCTGGGTTGATCAAGATGAGGGTGAAGGTATGGATGTGGGAGGAAATGGATTGGGTGGGGAGATTTGGTTGACGTGCTTGTAGTACTTTTTGAAGGGATTCGAGGTCGTAGCATTCACCAACTAGTGACCTGGGTGTACGTCTCTTGATCAGGTGAACGAGAGAGATATCAGTGAACATTTGCTATGTTTCAAAAGGGTTTAATAGAGGATTTGAACGGTTATCAAAGGTATTGATAGGGGATCGGACAAAGATCTATGGTTGCTACAGTTTGCTATATTGATGGATATTTTAAAGGTACTTGCGGTGGATGAGTTTACGATTCCTGAATCATACGAAAATGGAAAGAAAGGATATGTAATGTTAGCTTAGATAATATTTGCTCAAAAAATCTATGAAAAGGTAGACATGAATACATCAATGAAAAATAAAGGTGCTCGCGCTTCAAAGTGACAATCAATGCTGAAGTGTCGTAAGTCATACAACGTAGGAAATATTAATAGTACAAGAGTGAGAAACTGTCATGTACCAGCATCAAGAAATGGGGCTAGCTTCACAATAAAAGTCAGACAACCTCCCACACTGCCCTTCACACTTTCTCAAGGGGAAATTTCGACACCCCTCCAATCCCAACAACGCCCTCTACTCTCAATCCCCTTCGCCATTGCAACATCCCACAACTTCTCAACCGCAAACTCGGGACTAAACAATTTGCCCTCCTTGACACCTCCCCAAAACTCCTTTGACAAGCCCGTCTTCACCGTTCCCGGGTGATACGAAATAGCAAGCGCATTATCCCCATGTCTCGTTTTCAAGAAAAGATCAAAAGTCTTCGTTAGAGAATTCACCGCTGCTTTCGAAGCGCGATAACTATACCATCCCCCGAGTGCATTATCCGAGGTGGAACCTACGCGAGCTGACATGTTGAGCCAGAGGGCGTGGGGCGGAAGATTTTTGGTGTCGGGGGAGGAAGAGAGATCCAGACGTTTTGGGGGAAGGAAGGGGGAAAAGTGTTTGGTGAGGAGGAGGGGGCCGATGGTGTTGACGGCGAAGGTGTGTTGGATTTGGGATTGGTCTAATTGGGCGGGCGACTTCTCAGGGTAGAGAATACCGGGGATGGAAAAGGCGAGACGGAGATGATGGGATGAGGAGGGGAAGAGAGATGAACATTTTTCTGCGGCCGAGGAGATGGTGGATTCATCTGGATTGTGTTAGGATTTTGTGATTTTTTATATTTTGGGGATATTGATATTGGGATTTAAAGATTTCCAATATATGAATTTGTTTTTGAGTGATTTGGTGAGACAAAGAATCACTTACTCGTGACATCGACTTCTAATACCGTCAATCTCTTGGGATCAACATCCAAGTCTGCCAAAATAGATTTCTTCGCTCCTTCAATATCTTTCCTCGACGTTGCCACGACGGGAAGTTGTGTGTTTTGAAGGAGATGTCGAGTTAAATAGAAACCAATTCCTCGGTTTGCGGGACAAACTAGTGACCATGCCATTTCTTCTCCCTTTTGAATTTGTTATTATGTACTGGAGGATTTCGAAGATTGGCGTGAGTACGAAAAAAGATCATGTAGAGGGGAGGAGCATGACGTTTTGTTTGACATCAATGGCAATGACAATGACAGCATCATTGATATATTTTAAAAGAGCCATCCTTACAAGTGGCGGGTGTGGCTGGACGATCCATTGACATCGGGCGGTCGATCTTTCCATGCATCTATGTTGCATTTTAGATCGGGTGTGTGGGGTGTAGCTAGGCTAACTAGAGATTAAACTCTAAGTTTGAACGTTCGAATAGGAATTAGTCATTGGATGAATTCACGATGTCAAAAAGGGGGGTCTTGATGTTCTAGCGAGATCAATTGAAAATTGCGAATCTATAATCACAAGGATGGCGAGAGCTCATTACATATTCATATCTTGAAGCCATTGTAGAAACCATTTTTTAAAAACGCTGAAGAAATGCTATAAATCTCTCTTCCCATCCCAACACCATGCCCGTCAACAATTGTTGTTGCTAGCCATTCCAAAACATTGATTATAGTATAATAGTAACAAAATGAAAGATTCTTCGATCATCTATCACAAAGCGACATCTTGAAAGCTAGCATTTCCTGGTGTCTGATTCCCGGATGTATTTTCCTCGCCCGATTTGGTCAAGTCATCTGCTGATACTCCGAATGGTGCTGCAGGTCGGAGGGCAAGTTTCTGTTGTTCTACATCTGAAGCTCTAGACTTCTGCTCTTCAGGCACTGCTGCCTTCTCTGTCTCTTGCTTTTCTTGTACTTCTCCCGAGTCGCTACTAGAATCATCCTCTTCCTTTTCCTTCTCTCTCTCCTCCTTTTCTGGTTTGGGTGTATCTTTTGCGGGTGGAGTAGGAGGGACAGTTTGACCATTCGTGCCGTTTGTGTTTGTGGGTGGTGGTGAAGTAGTTGGTGTGGTGACTTGTTCTCTGGGTGGTTCAGCTTGTGCTGGTTGAGCTGGAGGTGTGTTCGAAACTATTTGTCTCTGTTTTGGATCTGCATCAAGATAATATTGTCTAACGCCCACGATTCTTCCACCTCTCTCACAGCCCTCAACCCATTCCGGCCTTACAACTGGAATATTCATCTCGACGGCTTTCTCCCAAGCTATACCTCTTCCTTCTGTTGTGACAAAGTGTGTTGTGTCGATTCTCACAGTATCTGCCATCTTCGCCCCAATCCTGTCAACTGCTTTGACAAGACTATCCCTCAATGAAGCGGGCAGAATACCAGGCGTGACAGTAATACCACTTAGATCCGTCATTTTGTGTGTCTTTACAACCACCTTCTCACTACTAAACGTTCCGGCACTTGTTCTTAATACCAGGTGAAACGTGTATTCTGTATCAACAGCCAAACCACTGATCTTTGTGCTCAGCATTTGACTCGGCCTTGGGATGTTTCCAGCCTTTTGTCCATTGCGGAAGAGGGAGAGTGAGATAACATTTGCGGTTGCTAACTCAATATGATCCCATTCTAAAACAACAGAAGTCTGAGTTGCGTTGCGACAGCGAAGGACTGGAGCAGACGGTTCTGATGCACCAAATGAATTGAAGATAGAATCTTGGAGAGCGACAAATGATTTTTGGGATTTTTCTTCCGAGACGAGGTTTCGTGCAACGGTGATATCGACGATGCTACCGGATGTGATGTTGGGTGGAAGGAGAATAGATGGAAATTCAATCTGGGAGGGGTATTGTCAGTTATGGAGGTTGGGGGAAGTAGCCTGTGCAATGACGAAGTTGTGTATATGTAGTCAATGTGCAGTTGATTGAACCATTGTTGAGATGATAACTTACGAGTCGTTTATCTTGAGTTAATAAGACGGCCACTCCGGCATCGACTTTACCCACGGTGAGTGAAATCAACATGGCGGATACTCCTTTTAATGTGTCAAAAGGGAATGGAATTCTTCAAGATACGTTGCGACAGCTTCGCGATTGCGATCGTCCCAGATTAGCTTGAGAGCTCCAGCATGTGTTCAGGCGGCGCTAATTGGTTGGATCTGGCACAGCCGCAAATTGATGAAACAAATTGATGAAACATTTCTGGTGTGAACTTCTTTAAAGATACTATTCGGTCTTGTTTTGAATAAATATCGACCTCAAATTTAGACGAATTCTTTACTCAAATTTGTGATTATTTAGTATTTTCAAAATTCAATATCAAAAGAATTAATATAGATATCTTATTAAATCTTTTTTTAATAAAAATAGAATCTATTAATATATTATATATTAAAATTTTAAATCTTTAAATATAATATTAAAGAAATAATAATGAAAGAAAAATCATTTACAAAAAGTAATATTTTAAATTTTAGTTTTAAAGAGTTGAAGTCTGAAAATTAGCGAGTTCTAATTTTTATACTTCTGCTTTTTTAATTACTTGAATAATTAAAGATTGGATTAAGATTATTCTATTTTTGAAAAAATAAATATAGAATTTGATTAAATATTTAATGATTCCTAAAATCTGATATCTTTAATCTTATTAGTTGAATTGATATAGAATTTTGAAATGGGTGACTTTTAGTGGTTTTTGGTGTGATATACACTAGCTAAATTGAGGTCGGCATTCATTCAAAACGAGACCGAGTATGACTATGGTATGTGTGATAGCAAATACAATATCTATATTTTATAACTTTTGAATAATCTGGAAAGGCTAGATAGTCTGGCTATCAGAACGTGGTAGCTTCTAAGATTTTTTTTCTATTTATTATTTGGCATTATTTTCCATCACTTTTGATAGACTGTTCCACCAAATACCTTATTCTTGGTGTTTTTCTTCTTCTTTGGTAAGTTCACTGTTGTACCACTCTCCTTTTCCTTCGTCCTATTTTTCATCTGGACCCTTTTCACTTCAATGGGCATGCCCTTAGCCTGTCTGCTGGGATTTTGATTTGAACTGTCATGTCGAGCTTCACGCTCCAGCTTGACCTTTCGTATTAATGCGGTCACAGCCATCTCCGCTTGATTTTGTAAAACATCCATCTTTGCGGTCAAGGCCTTGTCTTTGGCAGATATTATCATCGTACCAACTAGGTCCTCGCCCTTGCTACCCCTTTGTATACTGTTGGATATCCTTTTTCCAGACAAGTCATAATCTTGGTTCTTCAAGGCTTCCCTAATTGCAGTTCTGATTCTCCGTACCATATGGGTTCGTATAACTTTCTTGTTTCCTCCATGAACTTTCGCACAAAATACAGAGAGCCATAAAGGCGAGGCCTTGTTGACCAAAAGGTGCTGAATGTTATAGTGGTCTGGGTTGTAGGTTTTTGATACCGCTGGAGCTTGATGAGAGCCATAGGCGTGGTGAGCGGAAATCTTATAAGAAAAACAGTGATCGTCCCCTGTGATACCTTTGAATGATCCATAAGCTAGAGCATCTATTGATTTCAGTTGACCGGAACGTATCAGCTGGGAGAATTTCGATTCCACAGCAAGTGCAGCTGTTCCAGTCGCTCTAGCAGCCATCTCCAGCGGAGGATTGGAATGGTCTTGAGGTGAGGGTAGTGTGCGTCAGAATCATTGGCTACTAGTCCATGCTGTTTGTTGTTTTTGTAACAGTAGACAATAACCTTGTAAACCAATGGATGTGTTGAACATTGTAATTTTTTTTTTGAAAATAAGGGTCTCGATCAATGACAATGGAGCCGTAACAAAGCGAATTCATCAATTTGGTCGGACCGGATCTCTTTAGCGTGCGCCAAGACCCCACCACTAGTGAACCACAATTTATGACACTACTCCAGCCCAGAAATAAATTATTGTTTGCTACTTCATCGCCTTCTTCTTCCTTCTTCATTAATCTTGTTCCAACACCACACCCAAAACAACAATTCCGCAAACCACAAATACTCTTCAACCCGAAATCCAAGAATCAACAGTAAGGTAAAACAACAGCAAATATGCCTAAGAATAAGGGAAAGGTAAGAAGACATTGTCGCATTTTTTATTGGAAATATTCCACCCCACTATCTTGATCTAGGCTGACACAGTTGCGAAAAATAGGGAGGAAAGAACAGGCGTCGTGGAAAGAACGAGAACGATAACGAGAAGCGTGAATTAACCTTCAAGGAAGAAGGTCAAGGTACATATTCCCTACTCCCTAAGGCTACTGTCTGCAACCGCTATCTACCTTTACTTCTCCTTTACCGCTCCTTGTCCTTTGAGTCAATTTACTCTGCAAATGACCAACTAACGGCTTTCTGCAGAATATGCCCAAGTTATTAAGATGCTCGGAAACGGTCGTCTAGAAGCTCTCTGCTTTGACGGCACGAGACGTCTTGCACATATCCGTGGAAAGCTCAGAAAGAAGGTCTGGATCAACCAAGGAGATATCATTCTCCTTTCTCTCCGTGATTACCAAGATGAGAAGGGAGATGTCATTCTCAAGTACAGCGCCGACGAAGCCAGAAGTTTGAAGGCCTACGGAGAATTACCCGAGAGCGCAAAGATCAACGAGACCGATACCTACGGACAAGGCGAAGACGGAGATTGCAACTTCGAGTTCGATGACGACAGAGATAGTGGCAGTGATTCTGATGATGCTGCTGAAGGAGGAAAGGGCAAGGAGATTGATATTGATGATATCTAAAATGTTCTGGGGGTTAGTGGCTCCCCTCCACGATTGATAGTGGTGGTTAGGGGGATGGAAAGAAAGACTGTCTTCTCTCTCAATCTCGTTGGATCTGGTTACTGTTTCACTCGCTGGATCCCGAGAACCTCGACAGGCATTTTTCCTTCTAGTGCTTCATTCGACTGGCGATACTTGTATAGTGGGAGAGACGTTATGCATGTATTGACCAGGACTCTTAATTCCAATCTTCGTAGCATAGACTGAAGGCTATCCGAATAATGATATAGTCTATTTATTTTATCTTGAATGCATCAGCTGTGATTTGCGCCGAATTGAATGCATCACTTCAAGGTTTTACCACGGTGCATACAAAATGTCGACATACACAAACTTTAATTTACAATTTTTAATGTTTTCGATTGATTTAACTACTAAAACTCCTTGTACTCGAGTTACCCGTATCTCTTAAGCCAACCACGTTCCTTTGAAGCAGCCAATTCCGACTAATAGGGCTTTGACTGAACGTCTCTTCTTTACTTGACTTAGTAAACGCTCAATAAACTACAAAGTTCGCCCCCTTTTGACTTCATTCCTCTACCAAACTAAACAACTAATCACATCATCACATCTACCAATCATCATCTTCCGCTTCGTCATCTGATCAAAATGTTAGCCTAGGATACAAACTCTAAGATTATGAAATGAAAACTCACCACTAGCACTAACTTTCTGCTTTCTCTTATTCAAAGCAGCTGCTAATGCATCCGCCAATCCGCCTCCGCCCCCTGAAGATGCACCAGCAGGAGGAAGTCCACTACCCGCAGGTCCAGTGTCTGCACCAGGAACGGCAGCAGCACTTCTGTCTCTAATTTGCGATCGATCAACTTTCTTGAGAGCTCCAATACCACCGGCCTTTTGAATGTTTGCCATTAGGTCTGCACGATCTCCAGTAGGTTTAGGTGGCGGTGGAGCACCCGAAGCAGAATCGCGATTTGGAGGTGGTGGTGGAGGTGGAGGAGCTGGAGGTCCATTTCCTGGAGGAGGTGGAGGTGGTGGAGGACCGCCAAATGATGGCATAGGTGGAGGTGGAGGGGGAGGTGGTCCTCCAAATGCTGGGGGTGGTCCAGGTGGTGGAGGAGGTGGAGGAGCAGCAGATGATGGAATAGGTGGAGCAGCGGATTGCGGTAAAGGAGGTGGAGGTGGGGCGCTCATTTGAGGCAAAGGAGGTGGAGGTGGTGCAGTATCTCTCGGAGGTAAAGGTACAGGGCGAGTGGAAGCAGGAGGCAAGGGGGGAGCACCCGGAGACGCTGGAGTTTTGGGTGGCAAAGGCGGAGGAGGAATGTGTGCAGGCGGTATAGCATGACTACTGTGTGATTGATGGATATCTCTAGGAGGCGGGGGTGGAACAGGACCTCGTTGTGGGGTAGGAGGTGGTGCCGTAATTCTTGTTCCCGTGAAAGGAGGAGGAACTCCAAACCTCGAACCTGATTCCCCTGGTTCGTAATCTTCGATAGGGGTTTTCGCAGGCCTAGGTGGTGGGGGTGGCCCTGGATTAGAAGAAGCATGTGCTCGAGAAGGTGCTCTATCATTGGTATGCGCAAATTTTCCAGCATCTGCGAATGGCGGTGGAGCTGCAAACCTGGGGGGAGGGGGACCCCTGGGTGGTGAAGGCTCTCTTGGTGGTGTTGGCTCTCGAGCAATATCTGCTTTGGATCGCCTTGGTGCAGGAGGTGGAGGTGGTGCACCTCGTCCATGACCAGCATTAGAACTTTGAGGACTATCGGAACGGGTTCGAGGTGCTGCTGGAGGTGGAGGTGGAGGAGGGGCTTTATTTCTTTGATTTTCGATACCACTAGGCGTAGGTGTTATAACTTGTTGAGCTTGCTTTTCTCGAATATAGTCTGCAATAAAATCCTGATTATCCCTGATTATGTCGTCTGTAATACCCATTTCTCTCAAGTCCTCGCCCCATGTTTCTCGCCAATGAGGATCGATCGCTTCCAAAGCTGCGTATTCGGCCTGCCCTGTCCTGAAACTTCCACCCGAGTGCCTGTTGTTCTGCGTTGTATGCGCCGGTTGTGAAGGTGGGAGTACGTAGCTAGGCGAATCGGGGGGAGTAGGTTGTATCGATGGAGCAGAAGAATGTCTGTGTCCACCGAAAAATCCACCGAGGAGACTGTGTTTATGAGCCGGCGCAGCGCCTCCAAAAGGATTGGCCTTTGTAGCTTTACTAGCATTCTTTTCTCGATCATTCATCTTTTTCATGAAGGTTTTGGCTTCCTTCTCGTCTACGAAGGACAATCCAGCCAAACATTCTTCTGTTTCGAAGGTATGAAAGAATGTTCGATCTTGGTTATATGACCAAGTATCATATATCTCTTGGTCCCATATGACGCCTTTATTCGTAGACTATAACACGAAAGTTAGCTTTGATCATTGATGAAGTACTGCCGGGATAGTATAGAGGTGAGCCACTGACCGAGATATCGACAAGTTTTATCCAGTAGGTATTTCCGACAAGATCATTCGCAAGAACTGCCGCTCCTTGTAGACCAGTGTATGTCCATTTATGACGATCGGGATAAGCAATATATAGACGGGCGACTGCTACTGCCTGTATTTTGTTCGAGGCCTTTGGTACCATGCGTTTGACCGTCTCTTTATCATCGTCTGACAATATGGAAGGCATTTTGTGGGCTTATTGAATATCTATCGGCCCCAATAGAATATTCGATTTTATATTGTATCGGACTTTCTCCTATAATATGTATCTTCGTAGGGCTTTTGGAAATGAGGTTCGGTCGTGTGGGAGATTGCTCTCGTGTTGGTCGCACTTCTCACACTTCTTAGAAGCATTGGAAAGAAGCGATGATTGTGCGATGATTCTTTTCCTATCGCAATGGTTCGAAGTAGGGAATTGGACCAAAAAGTAAAGCGAATGATACTGGTCTGTTAGGTAGCCAAATTCCGCAGCGACTATGTGCTGATTCACAATGGTTGAAACGGTCAATGTCAAGTTGGGCACAGATGTAGATTGTCGTACTCCGTATGTGTGTATGGGTAATGCTGCTACGACAAAAATGCCAAGCAATTCAGCCACTGGTCGGGGCGAAGCCACAGAATGTTCCGAATCTCAGAGAAACGAATGGGCATCTCACAATTCCACATCGCATTACCTCTTACGAAAGTACGAATGCGAACATCTTTCACATCCATGGATTATTATTGTAACGCGCGTTCTGGTCATAGGCATCTATGTTACTTTCGGAAATTCCATGAGAATATCATAATTCATGTTGTAGATTGATATTTTAACAGGCAAAATCTCAGTCTTATACAACTACCAACGACTCATCGGTGCATCTGTACTGCATGACAATAGACTTGCAATGAGATGGGGATTAATCACTCTGGTACGAGTATGAGGACGACAACATACATAGCACACCACTCACATCAATATCCATGTTTGAGAAAGACGGAAGCTTTATTTCGTGTTGGTCGTCTTTGCTAATCAGATATGTACCACATTATGTTCACTATCATCCGTTTCCTTAACCATTCCACCCTTTCCAACGCCAGCCATCCATGAGTTCTTGCTTCATTAACATTACGTTCGGAGTGATCGTGCGATTCGTGTAAGGGGTTTTGAAGTCTGTTGAATCAGTTTAGACTTTCGGGTAGGTTAATGATAGACATACCGAAGAGCTTTACTCGTTCAAAGCAGCCGTCTTTGCTTCACGGTCCGCCTTGGATCCCTCTTGCTCCGGCATACTCTGAGGGACAACAGGTCCTGGGTTTGCCTCGTGATGACGGAATTGGACTTTCTCTCCCTTTACTTCGCCTTGGTTATGGAGGGGATGGTCGCTAGCATTGTTATCGGTCTTTGAGGATGAGTTCTTCATAACGTGCTCAGTTGCTTCACCAGCTTTGTGGTGGTGAGTTTCGTCTGGACCGGCAGGCATGATGTAGGGTGGTGGTTTGAATATATTATTTGACTTTGAAAAGATTCGTGTATTCGTAGTTTGAGATAGTATGAAGATAAGAGCTTTTCATCAACAGGATTCCTTCATTCTCTCTTCTATATAAGCCATATTTCCCCTCATGACGTAGGCAGGCGTAACTCGAAGACCACGGGATAAAGCTCTCTATCGCTAACTTCAACTACCAATAACTATGATTCCTCGAACAATGGTCGTGATAAGATCAAGATTTTGAGCATATTGAATGAACCATTAAGATCAGATCAGCCTAAGTCTTTGCCTAAAAAAGGCCGTCTGAGACATTTGACGTGGGTAGATACGGATATACTATATACTGAAAACTACTTCTGACATCGTGTGTGGTTCGCGTTATCCTTCAATTGGTCAACGCGTCATGATACCTCCAAGATGTCTTCATCAAACGGCGAACAACAACCCGTGAAGCTGTCACTGCCACTGGTAAATTTAATCTTCCTTCGTATGAATGACATCTTAATGAGAACTGCAGAAATATCAACAAGAGATATTCCAAGAGCTTCGACAAAAAGATGAGCTTGTCGTTCTTGCTCGCGGCCTTGGCCTCTTGAGACTTGTTACGAACCTCCTCCATTCATATGATGCAGCTGGAAACAACCTAATAATACTGGTTGGCGCAGATGATCGAGAGAATGGATGGATTGGAGAAGCACTGGCAGAGCATGCTGCTATCAGCATGGCTCCTAGAGCGCGAGGTCTTTCTGTCGTCAACACGGATCTCATGAGTGTCGGCACAAGAGAAAAGATGTATGCACAAGGAGGAATATTTAGCATTACATCTAGAATTCTTGTTGTCGATCTTTTGACCAATCTATTAAACACCGAGACAATCACTGGCGTGGTAGTGCTACATGCAGATAAGGTTGTAGCTACATCACTGGAGGCCTTCATACTTCGGATATACAGACAGAAAAATAAGGCTGGATTTCTCAAAGCCTTTTCGGACAATCCAGAACCATTTGCGACTGGATTTTCGCCACTGTCCACTATGATGCGAAATCTATTCCTACGCAACGTATCAATATGGCCAAGATTCCATATAAATGTTGCTCAAGCTTTGGAAGGCAAGAAAAAAGCCGAGGTTATTGAACTGGAGGTTTCGATGTCTGACTCCATGCGAGATATCCAAAATGCCATAATGGAATGTGTAGAGGTTAGTATTGGTGAATTGAAGAAATCGAACTCTGGGTTAGAGATGGACGATTGGAACGTTGATAGTGCTCTACACAAGCAATTTGATATGGTCATCCGCAGGCAGCTTGATCCAGTATGGCATCGAGTCAGCTGGAAGACAAAACAGATTGTCAACGACTTGACTGTCCTGAGAGGGATGCTACATTCTCTTCTAACATATGATGCGGTCTCATTCAATCGTCATTTAGATATGATACTTGCTGCGCATCAGCCTCCTGCTGGATCTACACGGCAGAATCAATCTCCTTGGCTATTCCTCGATGCAGCACATACCGTATTTGATACAGCGAAAAGAAGGGTATACACAGGCAAGGCTACACGAACGGATGATGTGGATTTTCTGAAACCTGTGTTGGAGGAACAGCCAAAATGGTCAGTGCTTGCTGAAGTGCTAGATGAAATTGATAGAGATCTCTACTTCAATCCCGTGCCATTGGATGACTCTAATGGCACGATCTTGATAATGTGCACAGATTCGGCTCAATGTTGGCAATTGCGAGAGTACCTTCAAAGTATGCACGCCCACGCGGAAACAACCGAAAATGATGAGGATGAAGATCAAGAGCCATCAGCAGAAATCATGATGAGGCGAAAATTGCGCAGCTACTTAGAGTGGAAGAAGAAGTTCGCGAAAATTAGCGCGGCTCTTTTCAATGAGAATCAAAACGCACTAAATGGTATTAGCAACGCCAACAGTATTACGAACAGCTCCCGAGGTAAAGCTCCAGCAAACAAAAGGAGGAGAGTGAGAGGGGGCGCCTCGAGCTCAGGATCCACACGTGCCACCAATGGCAGTCTACAAGCTGCGGAAGATAAACCCCTTGAGGTTGCTGAATTAATGTCAGAAATAAAGCCAACAGAAGTGGAGGAATTGCAGAAAGAAGAAGTCATTGCCGATCCTTTGGATGATATGGAAGATTACTATCAGCTTTATGAGATGAAGGATCTTGTGGTAGTTCACGCGTATGACGGGGATATGGATGAGCATATTCTCGAAGAAGTAAAGCCGCGGTATATCATCATGTATGAACCCGACACATCTTTTGTTCGTAGGGTAGAGGTTTATCGCTCTTCACATAATGATCGAAACGTCCGAGTATACTTCCTTTATTATGGCGGGTCGGTAGAGGAACAACGCTACCTGTCATCCACTCGCCGAGAAAAAGACGCCTTTACCAAACTTATAAAGGAAAAGGCTAACATGTCTGTTGTACTGACTCTTGACGCGCATGGCCTCGAAGATCCGCAAGAAGTTTTCCTCCGTACCATAAATACACGTATCGCTGGTGGAGGACGCTTGGCCGCTACAGCCCAGCCCCCGCGGGTGGTAGTTGATGTTCGGGAATTCCGCTCCTCACTTCCATCTTTACTTCACGGTCGAAGCATGGTCGTAGTGCCCTGTATGCTTACCGTCGGAGACTATGTCCTTTCTCCCAACATATGTGTGGAGCGTAAATCAATCAAGGATTTGATCTCATCGTTCAAAGATGGCCGATTGTATAATCAAGCCGAAACTATGCTCGAACACTACAAGTCACCAATGTTACTCATTGAGTTCGACCAAGGCAAATCTTTCACCCTTGAACCGTTTGCTGATCTCTCGGGCTCTTTATCATCCGTATCAGCCGCAAATGCATCATCTGATCTCCAATCCAAACTTGTGCTCCTCACTCTCGCATTCCCCAGACTCCGCATCATCTGGAGTTCTAGTCCATATCAAACTGCCGAGATATTCGAAAATCTCAAGACACAAGAACCTGAGCCAGATCCTATACAAGCTGTGAAGATTGGACTTGAAGGTGGTGCAAGTGCGGAGGATCAAGTATTTAATCGGGAACCTCAGGATATGTTAAGAGTGGTGCCTGGGGTTACGGGGAAGAATCTGAGTAATCTAGTAATGGAGTTGGGGAGTATTAAGGAGGTGGCTAATGCCGATTTGGAGGAATTAGAGCCGGTGGTTGGGAAGGAGGTTGGAAGACAAATCCATCGATTCTTCAATAAAAGTGTACTCGAATAATGTGGCATTGGATATATTCAGATAAATTATCTGTTCGATGTATTTAGAAAATAACGCCCATCGCATGCGTGGCCATGTGTTCTGGCGCAACAGAAAGAAGCTAACTAGCCAATTAGATATCATAACCGACGAACGTTTCGCGTACCATACACAATCTATATTCTAAACATACATCATTGAATACTAACAAATCCATCATAAATATCCGGCCACCAGCGCTTCGAAAACCAAGCTTTGTACAAGTGGATTCCAAACACTAGCACCACAGTGACCACACCGACCATGTCTCAATTCGAATCGAAGCATCAACACGATGAACTAGACGTTATCTGTTGATCCAAGCCCCCGTTCGTTCGGTTCTCCACCTGTCATAACGTTTTTCTCCATTAAAATTATATGTAGACTGTCACTGTTACATGTGTCATGTATGTATGATTGTAAGAATATATGTAGTATGACATTTATATCCCGAAATATCGTACATACATGGATCTTGGTACTAAGGATCGGGAGTTGGGTTATGCTATCGTTGATTTTGAAATAGTTGTGATGAGTGAAGATGAAGATGGATGAATATGGATTCTTGTACATATCGTATGCATTTATTCGTGATAGAAGAAGTCTACGCATATTAGATGTGTGTAGTTTTGGGCAGAAATGAATGTATAGATAGTACTGCATGTGTCTGACAAAGGGCTGGATGTCGAGAAGTTGGTGATGGATTGTGTCCTACCCCGGTATGAGGAAATCTAGATTTCAAAAATGAGATTACTGACCAGGAAGAATGCCTTGGATGCGTATAGGTGACCACATATAGACCACATACAAGTAAAATGGCATTTCCTCCTCACCTACCAGATATATACATACATACACATACAAATGTGGTACGAATTACCATGTAATCAAAACATCGGGGAAATGTGCCGCTTCCTCAGCTGCCAGCCATGAGATGAGATAACCTCGCATCACGATTCACGATTCACGCTTCACGAAAACGAAAGTGTGTGGTCACTGTGGTGTGGATCCAAGAAATTTTCAATCTCCATGTTTGAGTTCT